ATTGGATCATGCTTCTGCTGATGCGGTTATGCTTGTGCAAGATCTCTGCAGAGGTGTGGCCTGGGGGCGCTGAACAAACGCTGGCTGCGTGTTTCTGCACCCATCATTGCCTGGTGCAAGTCCTTTGCTTGTTGTGGCTTTCAAGAGGCGTAAACCTTTGCAATCGCAATGCCTCCACAGGTGGCGCTTCCCTTGAGGCTGTGCAAGATGTGCTTCGCGACCAGCTGCTGCCCCTGTGCCGGCCAAGTCCCAGGGAAGACGACCACTACCTGTCTGTGGAAGACATCGCACGCACAACCAAGTTTTTTGCATCAACCTTCCTGCAGCACTACAGGCTGTACAGCTTTGCCTTTGGCCAGAGCCAGAGGCATACGCAGCTGAAAGCCAGCCTGGAGGTGGATCTCATTCATGTTACTGCTTGCTGTACAATGATTGTCGATGCTGGTGTCAGATGGTGTGCAGCATTGCAAACATGACTTAGGTGCACAAATGTACAAATGCAGTATCCCTTTTGCTGTCGAGTGACCTGAAGTTGCTGATTTTGTATGTTATTTGTCACAGTTGCCACCTTAGACACAATATAAAAATCCTCTCAAGTTGAAAACTTTCGATTTTCAAATCAATCCCAATTGTATGCTCCACCTCTGATCTGTTAAAGCATAGGCCAAGAACACATAATCCCAAAGGGTGCCCCAGTGTTGTGTCTTTGGCATTGATTTGGTGTGAATCCTTTCCACTGCATGTGCAGTTGGAGACCCCACTCATCCAGAGCTTCGATGAGGCCATGAACGAGGGTGAGTGGCAGGCCTACAACGATGCAGAGGCGGCAGCCATCGAAGCGCGGGAGAAGGCTGCACGGGAGGAGGTCAGGGCACGCCAGGAGGCAGAGCGGGCAAAAAGGGAGCAGAGCGAGAAAGAAGAGGCTGAAAGGAAGAGGCAAGAGGAATTGAAGAAGGTGACACTGACAATTCATTTGTTATTGGATGTTGTTGGAGATCACCAATTTGCATATGACAATCGGCTGTTATCTCTATATTCTCAATTTATTGATCAGCTAGCAGTGACATTGTGAATCCCCTTGTTTATGAGCTCCACTTCTCCAAAAGGCTGTTTGTTGTAGAAAATGGCACAAAAGTCTCAGTGCACAGAATGGAAATGCACAACACCTGTGTCAGCTTTCCAGTTGTGCTTCCTTAACTAACTGCAGCTATTCGTATGCTTGTTGATCACCTTTGTGGGCCCACCCTTTCCTGGCGACCAGTGCTATTTCCTTAGTCGTGTCAGTTGATGCCTGAATGTGAAGAGCCAAATTTGAGAAGTGGAATCAGCAAATTCACAACTGCCACTTACCCTGTCATTTGATTTACAACACAGATTTTGCTCCACATCCCTCGTTGGTGTAAGCTGACTTGGTGGCAACTTCCCAGCAGCTTGCAAATTGTTGCATAGCATTAAATCTCTGGTTCCACAGTGCCATTGGTGCCCCAGGCCGCTCCTGGGCGTCCATAATGCGTTCACTGTCTTTGTCAGCTCCCTTGCAGCTGTGTGGACGTGGTCCTCTTGTTTCTGGTGGTTGTTATTGGTGCAGATTTGCAAGGCCATGCTTTCTTCAGCATTTCTTGCAATTCCCCATTGCTCCAACTGACCCTCCCTGTTTGCCCCAACCCGCCTCAATGGTGGAATGATGGTGACCAGTTGTATCTCGATGTGTGAAATCAGAGCCCATTTCCTCCATCTGTAACCCTTCGTCAACATCCTGTGCGCAGAAACCTCAGACGCTGGAGGAAGCCATTGACCATGTTGTCCTTGTGCGCTTGGAAGACGAAAAAACGAAGCTCTCGAAGGAATATGCTGACCGGGAGGCTGCCTTGTTGGAGAAAATCAAGGACCTTGAGGACAAGAAGGCCGGGGCATGATCCTCAGACTGGTGAGAGCAATCAGCAATTCGCCACAGCCGCTGGTGGTGCCTTCCAGGCCTGCTGTGGGTTTTGGTGGTGGCAGGTGGCGCACGTTCTCCCAGTCTGAGTCAAAAACTGGTCAACAGCTGATGGTCACGCTTGCTTGGAAGTTGTGTTGGGCACGGCAGGCATGTGGACATCCACCAATCATGTACTGGCTGCATTTCCATCTGTCGACCATCATCAGTCATTGTTTTGAAGGTCCTCATGGTGCTCGTGAAGCGGTTGCTCCATCAATTTGCTTCCCCTTATTGTTGATCTTGATGGCATGTGACTTGGCCAACTGGATGCGTCCATGTGGCTGAGCTGCTGTCATCATGACCTTGTGCTGCCACTGGCACCAAGCACTTGGTACTTCTGGGGCCCCTTCTTCAGCAGTTCGCCTGCCAGATGGTGCAAAAAGGTATTACTAAACTCAACTTCATAATTGTACTAAGGATGTACAGCTTGGAAGTGCATCTTGTGCACAATTGTGTTGTTCATGTTTGGGTCTCACATCCGAAATCAGGGAAATCCAAAAGGGTTGGGTTGGTAGCAGTGTGCCTTGTTGTCATTGCTCTCGTATGACACAGATCCTAGCGCACAAAGTGTCCAGGTGGTTTGATGCTGGCGCAAGTCAGAGTAAGAGACGTTATCAGTGCTGAAACTGGGAAGGTAAAGGCAGTGGTGAGAGAGTTTTAAATAGTTTGAAGAGAACGCATGTCCTATTCTCCCAGTGCAGCAATGATGCAGAGGTGCAAATGCCGTCCACCTTGTACATCCTCACCATGGGCCATTGGAATGCAGATTTTCATTAACTGTTTTGTTTACACACATTAAACCAATGTGGTCAAGTGCAACTGCTGTGCAAGAAGCAGCCTAGCTCAGTGAAAGGACATCCCCAGAGCAGTGCTTGCCACGGCCACATGTGCATTGTCCAGCTGCACCCCAAATTCACACATTCCCCACAACATTGTTCAGTTGGTGACAGCCGCTTGCCAAACATCATGATTCTGTCATCCAAACACCTCGCATGTGCACTTGAGTGCAGTTGCCGTGCAAAATATGGCACAAATTTAGAAGTAAAAGGCACCCCACCAACCCCCATCCTTCCCTAAATAAACGGGCGAGAGGCATTGACATCCCACACTGCGCAAACAGCAATTCCATGGCCCAATCTTAAATAATCATGCATTTTCTGTTATGATCGAAACACGGTCGTATTCTAACCAAACACAATGCATTGCATGAGGGATCCACTGCAGACATTGCTAAAGTACTGGACCAATTGCACGTTTCCTTTGAGGGCACATTGACAGGGCGCGTTTCGCTAAAGCACGATTTTCGTTGTTAGAAACGAGTTGTCTTTCTTTGAAAATGCTGGAGGTCTTGAAAACCCAAGGAATCTGTGCAATTCTGGATTTTGCGCATACTTCGTGCAAGGGTGGAAGCATCGAGAACAGGATCCCACCTGCTTCGTTCAGTTGGTCGACAAATTCACGCACGTCTTGCACCTGCAGCTCTATTTCATTTGCGACACTGTAAATGTCAGACATGGTCACGATGTTGCCCCCCTGATTCTGGGCATGCCGTGCCAGGGCCCCTAAGAACCGACGGGCTTCCACTTGCTTTCCACTCCCCTTGCGCCGCTTGAAGACTCCCAACCCAGATTCGTCCACGAACTTGTCGCACAACGCTTCCTTCACTATTTCCACTGCATCCTGCAAAGAATGGCACAGGGCAAATCCCTTCAAAGTGCGCTTTGCTGCTATGAACAATCACAAAAAATGTAAAAAGTTTGTGCTTGGAACAAACTTTTGCCAAACGGCATGCTCAACGCTCAAAATTACTTGGTTGTGCCCGGAAGGGCGATTTGAAGGGTGGTTTCTGTTGGAGGTGTTGAGTCAAGCATGTGCACATGTCCAAGAAGACACTCACCTTGAGTGCATTTAGAAAACACGCAACTCTTGTGAAGGCAGAGCTCAGTGTAAATGTACCACAGCCAGGAATTACACACCATCTGCAGGAATATAAAGTGTTGCAAATTTGAAAAAAAATTCTGAAATTGCAACATTAGAAGGTGCACTGAAGAACAGTCACTGTGCATGGCGTGGCTTGTGCCCCGTGCTGTTGCTGCAGCATCGTGTCACTGTGGCAGCTTTGGGGCACCCTCACCTGCGCGTCCTCCTCCGTGGCCACCTCCCTGAGGTCTAACCTTGCACGCGCCTCAGTCAGGCGCACAAGGCTCTCCAGCTGGCGCGCAGTCACGGGCACAGAGTCGGATGATGTGCAAGAATCCCGTAGGTGCAGAAAGAAGGCCTGCAGAACGGCTTTGGCCTCACGGGAGATGTGTGGGTGCACATACCTGCATGCGCACTCGCAGGAAATCATCACATGCAGAATATTGTGAACCACCATGGTTTCATGTTGCAACAACGCAATGCAACGCACGTCATTCCGCTCAAGCAGAGGATGCAGAAGACTGAGGGCCAAGATGTTATTGTTGCACAACCATTACTTTTGGGACAACGACTGCAAATGCACTGGCCAAAATGATCTGTAGCAAAATCGTAACTGGGTCATTCATATTGCATTGCTTGCATAGATTGTTTTGGACAGCACTGTCTGGCTGTCCAAAAGTGCTGCAAAATTTTGTGTCATGGCGCACTGCCGATGACAGGAGTAGTGGAAACCAATGATATGAAACAGATTCACTTTTGCTTCAGCACAGAATATGAAGACATTCACAACATGTTGGGAAAGTGGTTCTGAGGTTGTGGGAAATGCCACACGTCGCAATTGAGTTGCCGCACGTACTGCCGGGCGTAGGCGATGTACTTGCGAAGAAGCTGCACTGGCATGTGGCTGGACTCGCCCTCACCGCCTTGTGCTTTGAGGCGTTCGGAGAGGGGCAAGCGGGCGGGTGGCTGGCCTCCCTGGCCGCTTGGAAGGAGGTCCCTGGCGGGAGCACAGTCCAGGAGTCGCTGCTTGGCTGTCCGAGCCCTGTCAGGGGCGCCTGTGTAGAAACACCCCAGTTCAGGCATATTATATTATATTACCGTATAATAATGGACATACATCTTAGAAGTATAAAATAATGCTTCGGAGTGCCATATATATTAGACATTTCTAAATTTATTGGGTATTATTACTGAATCGGTCATGAAATTGTTGACAGGACTGGTATTCAAACACCGAAGCACACCACAACTCGCCAACTACGATTGGGGACCAGGTGCAGATGGCTTGGGGATCAGATGGCTTGCATTCACAACTGGCGCACCTGAATGTATTGACATCACGTGCTCCGACAGTTTCTTGTCCATCTCCGGGTCGGGCTTGTCCATTAACAAGAAGATGAGGTCAAAGCGCGACAGCATGGGGCCGCTCATCTTCAGGTTTTCTTGCACCGTCTTGCCATTGTTGTACTGCCCGCCCACAGGGTTGGCAGCAGCGATGACTGATGTGCGGGCTGGCAGGTTGGCCACCAGGCCGCCCTTGGCCACAGACACCTCCTGCTGTTCCATGGCCTCCAACAGGGACTGGTGCTCCTAGGAGCAATTGGCAATGAAATTTAGTCACACTTGTACATATGCGATCTATTAGGTGAAGAAAAATTCACTATGAGTATGTGGTGAACTGGTGCCTCCAGACTTTGAATTAGCCCTGAGGACTTGGTGGACATTTCCCCAAGGGCTACCTGAAACTGTGAATCCAATGCCCGGCCGACCATTCCAGGGTATCACTTGTGGCTGTAGTCACCCATTTTGGCTGGCTTTATGGAGGGGGACGCATCCTTTTGCATCTCCATGACCATCTTGCATGACCATCCTCAGAACACATTTGCCAGCACATGCCAAAGCACTGTCCTGGAGCCTGGACACAACGATGATGGGAACGTTTCCTTGTTGATATTACGTTCATGTTCGAAGATGGGACGATGGTGACGAATTCGTCACCAAGGCTCACGCACAGTGCTTTGACACGGGCCAGCAAACGTGTCAAAATGGATTGAGCTTGTCTTTATTCCAATTGTGGTGAGGCCGCTGTGCCTGTTGGAAAGTTCATTTTTACCAAATCATCACGCAAGAAATGCCCCGTCCTTCCTCCCCTTTCACCGCGGAGCAAAAACGCGTATGAGGCATTTTTTAAACACAGGAGCTTCATGCAAATGTCTCCAGGCGAAGTGGGAAGGTACATAACACAGGGAGAAAAACGCAAATGGCAAAAAATGCGCTCTTGGGCACGACTGGGTGGGGTTTTGAGGTGGGGTGAGATACATAATGGCAGATGTGTGTGAGAAAGTGTTGGCATCTGATAGTCACCTGGTGCATCTTGTCGAACTCGTCGATGCAGCACACACCGCAATCTGCCAGCACCATGGCACCCGCCTCGAATGTGTAGTCTCCAGTCAGTGCGTCTTTGACCACAGATACGGTGAGCCCAGTGGACGTTGAAGTGTTGCCACAGACGTACAAGCCCCGCGGCGCCGCTGTGGCAGCTGCCTGACGACATCAGCAAGAAACCACGACAGCACCATGAGTTGCGTTTGCATCTGAATTTTCGTTATGCCCAGAATCACCTTGCACTCTGCGCTTTATCACCGCTGGACAAATCTAGTGAATTTAAACCATAATTGAAAAGTTGAATCTGTTTTAAATCTCTTAAAACATTGAACCATTTTGGAAGGCAATTGTTGTAACTGACACAGCAGCTTGTGACGAGTGTGGCAGAGAGGGCACCTAGGGTGGTTGGGTGCCTTTCCCTTCAATCGTTTGGATAAATACTTTTGTGCGAATAGATGCTTTTCATTAAATGCCAATTTGCGATATTCCATGTCATAGGATACTGGAGGAAATAGGCAAGAACCTTAGCGTCGTGACAGGCTTTCAATAATGAATCCCAATCCTCTGAGAGAGTGAACTAACATCAGTTGCTTGCTTACAAAATTTCTCAAAGCATATGCATGTCAGGCATGTGGCATGAATCCCACACAAAAAACAATCTTGACATCTTCAAATCCGACTTAAGACGTCAAGATTTGCTTTCGCTATCATTCCATGCATGATGATCACTCTTATGCATGGGCACAACAACCCCATGGTTTCATACATATGCAAGAATGCACAGATACATTAGATGCATGGATCGTAGATAATGACAATAGACATCATACTAGTAGATCATATCTACTAGTATGGTACTAGACATCTGCAAGATATCTATTGGGCATGTTGCCCATTAACCACGTGGCTAATTTTCGACAAATTTTACCTGCAGTATTTGGCTTTTGCCAAGGCCCGGATCCCCCACCAACAGCAGGTGCAAATCCCCTCGCACGGGCACTCGCTCAACATCATCCGCATGCTTCCTCACGCCGCCCACGAGCGCAAGGAGCACGCCCGCCTTCACCACCTCGTGACCGTAGATCGATGGGCACAGCGAGCGCACAAGCATCTGCAGCTGCCGGCCGCAGTAAACTTGTGAGAACCTGAATGTGGGCGAAAGAGTTGGACCCTCCTCGACTTCCCAACAATAGTCGATATCAGGCTTGTTATTTACGTTGATGTTTTACGTTTTACGTTTTTACGCGTACAAAGTGGCTACTGATCATTGTTTGGGACATTATCATGTGACCTGGGTGTGTTGGCAAGCCGTAAAAAAGGCCATTTTCTATTTGCGCGTTTAATACATAAAACGCAAACGTGAAATTGGTGCGATAAATGCAAAGAGCAAGCCTGTCTACAAACGTCAAACAAATAACCTAAACCCGAAAATGAACTTCACGACCTCGATGATCTTCATGTCCAGCAATGAAGGGTATTGGACAACCACACATTACGACCAAGCTGACGGCTACCTCCTTGCCTCGCTATGTAAAAATGGACGACGAAGGGTATCAGATATTCCTGCTTCAAATTGCCACACACGGAACATTTTCAACATTTCCTTCCAGCTCGTACTTGACGATGAACTCCAGGTCCCGGTGCGTGAAGTTGATGCCGCACGGTGGCGGTATCGTGGCCAGGGGTGCCTGCAGGCGGGGGCGCTCATCTTGAGTGCATGCGCGGAAAGGCGCAGCGACGTCGGGCAGCTGGCGGGCCCCCTGGCCCCGGGCGTTGGTTATAGACACTGCCTCGATGTAGAGCAGGAACAGGCAGTGGGCGCGTTGGCCGCCCTTGGCCTTTGCCCCCGCCGTGTGGGGCTCTGTGTTGATCACTTTGACCTGGCGGAGAACAATGGAGGTATTCAGGCCTTGTTCTTAAGTTTACGTTTACGCTTTTGCGCTTATTTTTTATTTTTTTTGCGTAGAAAAGTAAATTGGCGGCAGGGGCTAATTTGATGGATATTTTTACGATGATACGGATCGTTGGGACACCCACGTTCCAAGACGAAAGCCGCGTACAATGATCTGTCTTCCGCCACGTCTTGCACCCGCAACACAGTGTCCACCTCGCCCTCGGGCAAGGACAACAACGGCATGGAACAAGAACCCGTTTTCTACCCATTCCAGCGCGTCTGACTGCCACTGCGCGGAATCCCCAAACCTGTATGTGCTGTCCTTATGTACAATGGGCTGTTTGCACATTGTATTTACGTTTTTTCACGCGTTTTACGCTTAAAAGCACAAAACCTGGTTTTACGCTTAAAAGTGTAAAACCTGGTTTTACGTGTAAGAACGTAAAATCTATTTTGCGTATAAAACCACAGATACGCTCTGTGTTTATGGCGTAAATACCAAGCCTGGGGTTTTTAAAAGGAAAATCTTCGTTCAATCAAGAGACGTCATGCACGTGTGATAACTGAAAAATACTGCGTGTATATGATGCAACAGCAGTCATAATACCTAGAATAAGGTAGCATTCCTGATGTTGCGACAGTGCACCTGTGCTTCACAGAAATAATTTGTTCATTAAGTACTGAGCAGTGCAGGTACGCTATTCTCTCTGTATGAGCAGAACTGCATTTGTGACTGCGTGCGCTGGCTTTTGCAGCTATGAATTCATTCTAGGTGTTTGCAAGAGTCTGAAACATAAATATTATGAAAATGAATGCATTTCCATATGGAAGCATCTCCCTAAATGCATGACTGGTCGCACATATTAATTCGTTGCATACATGCACTTGCACTCATGTATATGTGAATGAATAAGTAGACAGATGCTAAGAAAATGTACGAATGAGCAAGAAGAAAGCGTATAACCGTGCGACTTGACAGCAGACCACAATATCTTGTCTGTAGAACACCGAACAGATGTCATTATTCCTGTCTTCCTTGTATTCGTTCCTGTTTCTGTCTTTGTATTACCTGTATTCGGAATAGAAAGGAATACAGATGGCCACATGGGGGGTCAGGCACCCAGTTGTTCAACCCTTCATGCTCGTGTGGCATCACCAATGAAATTGAAATTCTACTTCATGCAAAATCTAACGTCTTCACTCTTTGCTTGCATGCAAGATTGGCTTGCACTTCACTTCCATCTTGGGAGATGTCTGGGGTATCTGGACACCTGATGAAGTTCGACATGTGTGTGGAATCCATGATATAGCAACCACGATTCCCTACTCAAGTTTCAGTACTGCGCCACTCTGTGTGGAGCTTGCTTTCCAAAGTTGTGTTCAAATGTCAACATTCAAATCTTGTTATCAGATTTCGGAAGTGAGTTGACACAGAGCAGCAAAACAAAGAGTTCTATGCCTGCATCTGCCCCGGGGTCAGCGTTGCTGCCTTATCCAATTGCTGCCTTACACATATATATAACAAATGGGTTCCTTCACCTTCACCACCTGCACCGACTTCCCACACTCAAATGCCCCCTTTCACTTCGCAGTACGTTATGCCTTATTAATGCATGACTCAGCCCTGGGTCACCTGCTAATCCCTACTTCACTCCATCATTCCCGCAAAACCCCAATCTAAACCTACCCTTGCTCTCTTCGAGAGGGCAAGTGTTAAAAAACCATAGGGTGGCGACTGGTGGGGGAGCCCAAATAGCCTCCCTGCACAGCCCCCCCCCCTGCAAGGGCGCCAAAACAGTTGATGGTCTTCATTGCATTCCTGAACCAGGCTTGGTATTTACAGCGTGAACACTTTCTATTTACGGCTATTTTTGCATAAAAATAATTTACGCTTCTACGCATAAATAGCTGTAAAACTGCGTTAAAGTGGCCCCTGTGGACCGAAAGGCAATACATACAAATTCAGGGAGCCCGGGGAGTGGCAGCTAGATGTGCTGAAGTTTGCACAAAACGGTTTTCTTTTCTCGGCGACGTCGTTGCCCTTGCTGATGGCGTGGTGTGCGATGTGTTGTAAGTGTTTGAGAGAGTGGAAGATTGATCGTTGATTGGGACAACACCATGCAATCTGGATGTGTTAGCGAGCCCTAAACATGTTCAAATATGGGTGTAAAAATGGCTTTTTCTCTATTTACACGTTTTTACGCATGAAAATGTAAATGTAAAAATGGAGCTGCAAACGTAAATAACAAGCCTGCCCTGAACATTGACTGATCCAATGTATAAGGTGGCCAGAAACCAAAGCAAGGGGCCTGAAATGGCCATTTAGACACAGCTGCCGATTCAAACCATGGGCGCAGCCCACCCAACGTTCCCTTTGGCAGAACCAATTAACAGAATGGTTGATTCCATTTACAGCTCCATTTTTGTGATGTCTTTGCAGGCCGCTAAGTTCCTGACGTCTTCTCAGATTCCAGATGGATTTACTGCCGTGACACATGACGTAACTGCTGTGTGACTTCATGCTTCGTGCTGGAAAATGTGCCTGCTACGTTTTTAAACATGACAAATCGCTCCCTTAGGTTGCGTCTAAAGACGCATGCATTCATTCCGACAACAAAATGCTGACAACAATGCCATCCTATTCCATTGTGGCTCTGATGCAATGATCGCCATACTGTTGGCCGATTGTGCAGGCTCACCTTACCAACCACTGTCACGATGTCCCCCGCAATGCAACTGTCTACCAGATCCTCTGCCAGCTCCACTTCCACCGTCCTTGGGATCTGGCCTTCCTCATCCTGACCAGCGAATGATCAGAAATTCAAGAAGGGAGAGAAAAGTGCAACATCAGGTGGAAAAACCTCGATGATGATCAGCTTGAATTTGAGTGCTGTATCCATCTACTTCAATGGCATACTTCCTCCAAAATGTATGTGCGTATGCAGCCTTTCTGTGCATTCCACCCGCTAAAAGCAACAGCAAACAAATCATTGTGCCCTTGCAGGGGAGAAACATCTAACTGCTAGTTCCGTGTCCCCATGTCCAACATGTCGATTTCATTTCCCCAGGCAATCGTTGCGAAACCCGTCATGTGGCTTTGCCTGGTTTGCTAATGCAACCCTCTGTTTGGGTTTGCTGAGAACCTTAGGTTGCTGATGTGCCTGGATGAGCTTGTGCATCAGAGAATTTGGAAGCACCACCCTGCACGAAAATTGTAGTTGACAAATATTGTAATTCACAAAATCAGCTCAATCCCATGCAGCTTCAGTGTCCCAAATCTGTTAAAATGCAACTGCAGTGATTAATAAAGCATGATGACTGAAAAACGTCACCAGTACTGAAAGGTAATTTATGATTACACGTCGTTTGTTCAGGTCCTGGGCTTCAGGAGATGCCAGTCATATGCCATTTTTATGACATGATATGGCATGTTGTAATTGTTTGATACTTTGTTATGTGACATTTTGATGTTTTCTCGATTCTGGTTAGCAAAGCTGCACTGAATCGACTCGGCAAAGGCTCAGATGGCAACTCACATGTTTGTCACGGTTGCGAACCTCCTGGATGCGGATCTTCTGCCAGTCTACACTGATGGCTGATGAGTGGATGGGTGAAAATGTTTGGCTGCGGCATCCCTCTCCTTCACACCTGCTTGGCAGGGTGTACCTGCATACAAAAGCAGGTGTCTCATGCCCGTCTGAGCCCATCCTGCAGGCTGGGAATCGATTCCCCAATCTTGAAGTTACTCTGGTGGCTCCAGGGATCGCCATGTGATAGATGGGACTTCCCATGGCACCGTTGAGCCAGGCTGCGACGAACTGACTTCAAACATGCATGATATGCCTATGACTTGATGGAAAATTGAAAAGAAGAATCCGAAGACTTATGTTGGGGAAGAATTGCAACAACTGGTCTCAGTGAAGGAGTGCATTCCCAGGATGCTCTAAAGGGACGATTCCTTTTGGTGCCCATCCTTCCTCACACTGCCATTTCCGATTCATCAATAAAATGCACAAGTATGTATCCAAAAACACTGCTAAATGCGCAGCAGTTACATGGCTTGTTTTCTCCAATGCTTCAACTTTTATGAATACGATATGACTGGTCACTGTTAGGAAGGAAAACACACCAATGGCATGAGAACACCATTGCCAAAAGAACAACATTGCTTTATGTAATCTTTAGAAGCTGACAGATTCGGTTTACTCATTTCCAGACATTCTGTCTGTAAGTTGTTTTGTTGAAAGCAGTCCTGGTGCAAGAGCAAAAGATGTTAGGACGAAGCTAAACCTGCAGGTTAGTAAAAGGTAGAATTTTGTGCATTTCTGTCCACAGGAACAGTGCTCACAGGCACCTGTCAGCACATCAGCATCCTGTGATCGCTAACTTGCCCCCACATAAATCTAGTCGCCGATAGAGGGTATGAAAATTCGTATGCACTTTTCTGCAGCTCCATGAAGCTGTTCCCTTACCTGCCATCGGGGAAGTCCACATTCGTCACATTCCTACATTTTCTGCAGATAAAATCCATGGATGTGACCAGGGGCTTCAACTGACTCATCCTCACCACTGTGCCCACCACAGTGACCAGCTTGCCGATGAGGTCTGACTTTAGGTCCCTAATGCGGACCTGGCCTGAAGGCCTGTTGACCAGTCGAATAAGCACTTTCCTGGGCTTCGCAGTCTGCGAGGCAATGGACAATTATTGAAGATTTATCCACATCAAGGCAAGTCAATAATCTTCGTGAACATGCATGATTTGATTGCCTCAATCTGTTGTGCAGTGCTATTTGCAGCAATCACACAACAGGGAGGGCACAATGTTCCCTTTGATGCTTATCATGTTGCCATTGTTCGTGCCATGCAGGTGTCTAGGGGGCCAACAGCTTCTTTGGCACAGTAGATGCATCTGAATTTCTCTTCTAAATATATTGCATAACAGGTACATGTTAAGTGCATTGCAGTACATGCATTCATGCATATTGAGCACTGAATATCAAGGCTTGTACCATAGATCATGGAGAAAAGCGCGCCCCCCTGTACCCCACTCCACATCAGGGCTGATGTCAGGAATGCGGGGGGTCGCTGCATTTTGCCGTGCCACCCATGTTGCCAGATTGATTGGCAAAGCGAACTGAGGCGAGGCCAATGTAGCATATTACATAGCATTACATAAATTCACATAAGGCGCCAATCACGGTACCAACCAATAACAGCTATTGGGAAGTCACACTGCACTAGAGACAGCCCAGAGATCTCGATGACCTTGGTTTGAGTGATGGTAGTATGGAGCTAGGTACTAAGAATGTTGAGGACATGGTGTTTGATTGAAGGAGGAATGTCATGGCAATGTTTAATTGGAGTGAGCTTGATAACATGGGGGTGATAGCATGTGCAATGAGGTACAAGAATGTGTGAAAATGCCTTTGCATTGTGGTTGTTCGTGATGTTGAAGTGAATATTGCCCCCCTGCGCTATCTTGCATACCCCCCTTGCTCTCCAACACCGGCCATGTTTGACAACGCCAGGGGCGTTATCTAAAGGCCCCCGCACAAAACAACACCTCCCGTGCTATCCTCCATGATCAATGGTACACATATTTCCAAAACACTGTTTATGTTGTCAACATTGGCAAATCAAGCCCAAGGACTGATGGAGAAGATGATCATGGGAACCCAATACAGCACTGGCTTCACTGATATGGCTTGTCTGCTGTGTATATTTGCAAATTCGTTGGAAGCAGGGGGACTCGGATGTGCCGTTTGTGCAACATATTCTTCATCGCCACGTAGCTCCTGGGCATGAGTCGTCAGCACCCCAAACTCAATTAAACGAATGGCACGCAACAACGAACAGATGCGGGAGGCCATCATCCCTCTACCCCTCCCCTTCGGCCCCCCTCCCCCTGCCTGACTCCCCCCCATTCTTGAGTCTCTGTGAGGCATCTGTTGACAGTGCGGCACAGCATCTCATGCACAATTGCTCAGGAGAGGACGCCTCTGCATGATCTGTTTTCCCTTCCCTTCAACAAAATCTCACCACGATCCCCGCCCATCCACCCACCCTTCTTGCCTTTTGTGTTGCCTGCGTGTCGTGCACATCATTTCCCACCATGAGACACTATATCATTTTTTCACAGCACGGAAAAGAGTCCAGTTGGCTGTGAGGGGGCTTTCAGGACCTGTTTCATTATCTCTCTGTCACTAATCTTATCCACCCACCTGCGCCACCGGCCGTCGGCCTCTGCCGAACATCGCCTCGCACACCGCGGCGCCCAGGCACGCCAGCCCATCGTCTGGTGCGTAATACAGTGCCTCGTTTAGGTCCGCGCTGCCAGAGGCGTCCCTCAGTGCCACGAAGTCCACCTGCAGCGGAAAATGAAGCAACAGCGTAATGGAGCTCATGATATCTGGACTGTTGGTTGATTCGGCTGATCAAATTTCTGCAGCACGTTGCAGTGCTGTTTGCACTGTGATGGACCTCAAGGCATTTCGGCTGTATTTGGCTTCTGCTGATCAACTTCGCAAGCACGTGGTAAAAATGTTTGCAGTGTATTGCACCTCAAGGAACTTGGACTGTGGCATCTGCTGATCAAATTTCACATGCACATGGCAATGCTCTTTGCATTGTGAAGGACCTCGAGGAATTTGGACTACTTGTTGATTATGCTGATCGAATTTCGCAGGCACATGGCAACGTTCTTACCCTCTAACGGAACTTATGGAATCTGGACTGTTGCTATGCTGCTGATTAAATATTGCAAGCACATGTACATGCTCTTTGCAGCGTTATGGACCTCAACGAATCTTGGCTGTTTGTTGGTTCTCCTGATCAAATTTTGCAGGCACACGGCAATGCTCGTGCACCCCAAAGGCGATGAGCACCTGCAGCGACAGCCCACGCCTGCCGCGGATCTCCCGGGCGCCGCTCAGGAATGGCGCTCCGGAAGGCGATGACAGAAACTGGCACAGGCCCCGGATGAGCACCGCCCGCCGGTTCTGGGCGTCGTAGTCGTCGTTCGGGAAGTAGAGGGACCAGGCCAGGGGGCGGGGGAGCTGGAGCTGGAGGTTGTCCGCCATGGGGCCGGAGGGCGCGGCGTTCAGCGGCTTGCGGCCTTGGGCGCATGGTGTGCCAGAAATGGCATTCTGTCGACTTCATCGGCACCAACATCACGAAATCTTATTTCGGCATCATCGTTGTGACGAAAACCAAGACACTCGTACGAGGGTGGCCCCCAGGCACGGGAAGCCAAGCCGTAGCCGGATGCATTACAGCTGTAATCAGCTGCACACCTGCAGGATGAGCTGTCCAGTCATATCGCACACACTGTAAACTTGTCCATTTCGCGTCCCCATAGTCCCCACCTACACTTCACCATAATTTAACACCGTATTCACCGTGTGTAGTTTGCACCGTAAGCACCATATATCACATTACCACTCCATAATTTCTTCCTCATCCTCACAATCATCGTCCAGAAATCCAGTTTCGGTTCATCAGGATCATCATCATAAGAAAACCTTATGTATCCTGTCGGCTGCATTTGGAACCTGTGCTTCTGTCTAGTGCATGCTTCCGGCGACTGAATTCGATCGGCGGCTTGGGGTGTCCCATCGTACACATGGGAAAATTGGGGCATTTTGGGGCGATTGCCAGCCAGGGGAGTTGTTGTTATTTTCGGGGTGTGAAGGTTAATCTTCACGTTGATTTTCAATCTTCACGCCACACAGAAGTGGGCCTGAGGGCTTTGTCGTGGTATGTTGCAAACAGTATCGTTGTGGTACAGAATGACCGGGCTTCAATCCCACTTTGCGTCGCAAGTGTTCATCGGGATTTGGAGGGCTCTCAAGGCCACAGCGGCCAGCCGTGTGGTTGGGTGTGGGTTTGCCGGAATCCACGTAGCGACTGTGAATCCTTTCTCGATTGGGATACGCTTGGGCAAGACTGACAAGCTTTGCATGCAATTGGCACAGAGGGAGAAGGCTTTTGAGGAGTGCGGCTACGACATGCAATCTAGCATTGACAATTTCAGATTGAAATGGACACTGACATGTCCCACTATGAGGCCCAATGTTTGGGAACCTAGCAGACTTTGTCTGGCAAGGAACGAACAAGATTCAAAATTTGCCTTTCATCGGACGCGGCGCACTCACTAATTTTTCTTTCCAGGGCTCTTATTCAGTGCTACGACGGGAACTCAGCAGTATGAATCGTGCATTGGCGGTCTGGAATCCAGAATATTCACCGTCAACGTTTATCTAGGATCAATAACGTGCGTCCCTCTCCAGATGAATCTAGAGAGGAACCAACTTTAAAGTTCCAATTCCATTCTCAATGCGCGATTGGCGATACAATCAGTAAATTTGCTGGTCCTTGATTAACGTTGACGGTGTTGGGACGTTTGTCTCCAGAGTCGCCATCACGTTGCTTCAAGTACCGTGCGATGCCGTCAGGCGCTGCACACGTTGACATGAGGATCCGCCGAGGAGGGGAAGGGGGAGGTCTGAGCTGGCCATCAACTGGCAGCAAAAACTCTGGTGGTGTGTCAGCTGGGATGAACAGCCGACAACCGATGGGAGGTTCGCTACTTCCAGATCCATGGTTCGAAGGTGGTACCCACAAAACAAATTTCAAACAACGCGGCACTGTGTTGCCAGCCGCCAACTTGCAGCCAGCGGTCAATATTGCGATGAATTGAATAGCACGGTTTGAGCCATTCAGCTCGATTAAATCATCCATCACGAGTATTTATTACAAATTAATTGACTATCTTTGTACTGTTTATCCATTTACACGCAAAAACATATTAATCCCTTGTTTACAAATTACACAACTCAGTTACGGAAGACGCTACGTCGATTTTGGTACCCTTAGCGTCAATAGGACGCAGAGCCCAGACCCATCCCCCACCCCCACCCCTCCTATAGCGCCTGAAATGTTGGTGGAAAAGGAGGGGTTTCGCCTCGATACTTTGTAACGCCGTGTCAATCCTTAGGTCGAAGCCAGGATGACTCAGCAACATTGCATAACGACGTTGGATAATATCAAAGTGTTTTTAAGGAATATAAACAGCCAGAATTGCAAAGATTATACAGGGCTGGGAAGCGGGATGATAAAAGCCATTGCGCATGGTTGTGGCTACATTTATGGCTATCTATTGAGGTACTCTGGGGCTTTATTGGAGACTGAATGCTCGGGAGAGGTTTTGCAACAAGTCGTAATCTGTTTCGCACTGATCAGCAGCGTTTTGGGTGCCTTAACAACTTATGTCGACTTTGTGTCAACTGCATAATGTCCTAGCGTCAGAGCCTCGGCGCGCTCAAATTGACGCCAAGTGTACAAATTCGACATAGTGTCTTCCCTCAATGAAGTGCTCTTTCGAAGGTATGTGAAATTGAACTTGTGTGTATTTATCACGTGTAGGTGAATACCGCTTCGATTACATGTTAGAAAGCTGCACAAAACGCTCAACATTACATGCGTCACAAAATAGGTCAAAGCATCTGCAGAGGGACAAAGGCCAACATAAGTCACATCATGCTGTGGGACTGTTTTTTTTTTGCCAATTATTGTGCGGACCTCACAATTGTAAACCGCATCTCACATTGTAGACCGCTGGCAGACGGGACGCCAGGGATGCAGGGTCGCTGTTTGACTATCTGAATTCAGCAGACACGTGCCATGACCAGTGCGTCGATTTTTCACGCGGCTGGCAAGAATATTCACTCATTTATTTATTCGCTTTGCTGCTGATATGGCGCCGAGCCTCGTGCTACCGTGTAAAAAGTGTCCGGATGGCGAATCTTCCAGGCGAGAACCTGTCACTCACAAATCCAAATGATCGCCCAGTCGAGCTGCACTCGATTGCGAAAGTGCGCCTTCGATAGGCGGCTTAAGTGCTGAAGCTTCAGCACGGCATGGCAACCATCCAGCGGGGCACAATCCCCGAGTGTGCACAGAGAAACGCCAGGGTGGGCACAAACCAGTGCTCGTTACAAGCAAAGCCGTACATCCGTACATATGGTCCATGCACGGGTTCCGTTTCCCAACAGGTTACCGTTACCAGGAAACCTCCAACAGGCAGTACCTCACACGTCTCACACACACGTTCATGCTGAGTGCCGGGGCACCGCAGTCACTGTGGTAACGTTTTCACGCACTTGTGTATGCCCTCAGTTCCACCACGTCGACTATCACCGCTTCCCTTAGTGCTCTATGCCCGGGCAACAGCGTCCCGTACTGGGCAAGTCCAAGCATACCGTTATCCACTACCCTGGCACCGTTACCCGCCAAACACTGTACCAAACATGTATGCCCACGTACCCAAACGGTTTCCCACGCCACTTGAGCCCCAGTACCTTAATACTTGAGCCATTCAACCCCTACAACAAGGGTCCCCGCGGTTTCCCACATCGTTACCCGCCGCCACCGAACCCGTTACGCTACCATGCTAAGTCTTGCGCCGCCACGCCACGTCAGGGCAACTGCCGGCGCCGCCCTGGGCAACCGTGGCTTCCCCGTGTTAATGGCTATCCCCACCATGGTAGCTGTGGGGGTGGCCATGGTAACAGCCGCGGCCATTGGGGTAATCGTCACCTCCACCAAGGTAATCGTCAGATCGCCAAGGTTGCCATCGTTGCCTCGTGGTAACGGCTAGGCCCCAAGCGTCGCGGCACCTCTCTCCTCATGTAGATCATCAAAAGAGGCACAACCGCTCATCAAAAAGGGGTATGGCCGCTCATACCGCCTCATTATCGGAAACAATCCTCATGGCGCAACGTCAGGCCCATGGCACATCGTCTGGTCATCGTCAAGGCTACGGCACATCATCTTGTCATCTTCAAAGCTACGGCACATCATCTAGTCATCTTCAAGGCTGCGGCACGTCTTCCTAATGGCACATCATGTCATGCAATCATCCGGCACGTCTTTCACGGATTCGCCACATCAGTGTCAATCACGCCTGGGCATCACGTCTCTTTCCCACACCAACGCTCATCTATGAGACACAACTACCGTACTGATAAAGACTCAAAGAACTATAATTAGACCATACGGAGGTACTATTGAAAAACGCACCAATCTCCACAGGGGTACTTCGCAAATGCCACGCTGATCCCCATCGGCTTGAAATTAGCCGCTCTGTCTTTTGCGTGAAGATCCCTTCTTGTTTCGACACCCCCCTACTCTCCGGCATAAAATTACTCCCTGCATCAAATCGGTGACTGCTTGCACGAAAACGGTGACTGCTTGCACCAAGTCACGTGCACATCATGTCCAACTCCGTCAAAACTAACCTAACCTAAAACCTAAACCCTAAACCCTAAACCTAAACCTGTCCTAACCCTAACCCTAACCCTAAAACTCACCCTGAACTAAACCTAACCCTAAAACTGAGGTTAGGACAAAGTGTGCACGTGACTTGGTGCAAGCAGTCACCGATTTGGTGCAGGCAGTAATATTATTTCCTACTCTCCAAACCCACTGACTCACTGACGCACGTGTCAGCGGAAGAATGGATCCTCCACCAAAAAGCCAGGGGTACTGATATGATCTCATCCCCACCAGTGTCTGCGTGGCATCATATTATAGGCCGCCGGCGACCTCGCGCCCCTCTTCCAGGCCCCGTGATCGGCCCCCCCCCCCCCCCCCCGCGGGCCGATCCCCTCCACAACCCTCTCAGCCCCGTCCAGCGGCCCGCCACCACTCGGGCGACTTGCCGCGCGGGGCCCCAGGGTCCCCATCGGCGGCCATGCAGTCTGCTGCTCCGAGGTTGGCTCCCCTGGGGACTGGGGCTACAAGCCGATGGGCGGAGGGCGCGCTCGCTCGGGCGCTGGGAATGTCGAGGAGGGCGGTGCGCAAGCACGCCGTCTGCGCGTCCGCGAAAAAACAGGTGCGCTGAAAAATGAAAAGCGACAGGAAGGGTCGCGTGACCGTGAGGGATCCGGCTGGGAAGCGGCGCTTTCGCGGCGGATGGGGGATCCTGGCCATCTGGGCAGGAGGCGAAGATCGGTATAGGGGAGGATGTGTGTGGGGGAGGGGGGAGCGGTGGGCAGATCTCGTGGAGTTGGGAGGGGTGGTGGTGGCTGGGCGGGGGCGGGGGGAAGGAGGGGGAGAGATCGGCGGTTGGGATGGGCGGATGTGTTGTTCTGGTGGATGTCTTTCGGAGTCGTCGAGCGCTAACTGAACAAAAAAGTGATCCGGTCAGGTCGCGCAGGCAGGGTTCCCGCGGAGTGGTGGTTGGTTGCAGGCCCCAGTCGCCCTTGTCCCCGTTATTTGGAAATTGAGCCAAGGAACATCAGCAATGCCCCGCCTGCCCCGCCCACTCAGCCTGTCCTCCACCGCGCTCTCCGCTCGTGTCGTTAGTTGGCGAAAATTGGAACGAGCGAGCCTTCCTGGCATTTGCGTGGGCACCGAGATCCAATCCCATCCCATTCAACCCAACCTGGCTCGATGCCTGCTTCATTCAGTGCCGAAGTGGCCAACCAAACTAGGCGCTCGGCCTCCTGAGCCAGAGTCCAAATACAATCCCGCCAACCTTCACCCCGCTCGTTTCTCGTTCCTTGATTGTGGAAGGGTGCCCTGGACAAGGATTTCTGGTCTTTGGGTGCCCCTCCCTGATGCCCATTGCTGTGATCCCCATTTCCTTAACTTGTGCGTGGGTGCTCTGAAAGAGCATCTCTGGTCTTTTGGGCGATCCACAGCGCTCGATGCCCATTCGTTCATTTGTAAGAGGGTTTGTACCTAAGGATGATTTTTGGTCTTGGGGCACCGCCGCAGAGCCATGACTTGGCCGTCCAGCTGGCAACCAGCCTACCAGCTGCCTCCCTCGCGGCACTCTTTGTCAGCGTGGGCCAGCTCAACGCCGCTCTGGCCGCAGACTACGCTCCCCCCCAGCAGACCGCCTCAGAAGTGATCCAGCAGCAACGGCAGGGGGGTGGCATCCGCGCCTTCGATGCGCCTTTGCCTGGGCCTGACTACCGGCTGCCAGAGGGCAACCAGTGGCGGTACTCGGAGTTCGTGGGTGCCGTCCAGGCAGGCAAGGTGGAGCGTGTGCGGTTCAGCAAGGACGGCACTTCCCTGCAGGCCACGGCCGTGGATGGACGTAGGTCGGGACCGGTGTTTTGAATGGATCAATGAGATGCCTCGATTGCGCGACAACGCAAGAATGATGCACTGGCCAGGGCACCTGTCTCCACTGAGTTTGGGCAGTTGGTCAGCTGCAATTCTTCTAGATGTTTGCAAGGAATTGATTTTGTTGCTGTACTTTGGAGTCAGATTGCAGTGGTGTGATTGCTAGAAACAGTGCCCTTGCATCTGTAAGGCAGAGATGTTCCTTTTGCCAACTCCGTTCAGTGTGGAGTTCTGCTGGGATGCATTCGTCCCATTGACAAAACACTGCCCTTGCAACGAAAAGACAAGTGTGGGAATGTTGCCATTCACTCTGTTATTACATGTTGCGCTCTGCTGTGCTTTTGTTTCTCCAATTGTCAAAACATTGGCCCAGCATTCACAAGATGAAGGTGCGCGTCAGCCAGTCGCCTTCTTTGTTCCCACAACATGCCCACAAATGACACACGCGGCCTGCTGTGAGCCTGTGGCAACCAGTCTGCTACTCTGCTATGATGCTGCTTTGTGTTGAGTCCCACTCGTTTTGGTCCACTAGCCTCCGCTTGCTTCAACAGTGTGGATGGAAAAAGCATCGCAAATCCTTGTATGGAGAGGTGACCATGGCATGGAATGTTTCATATCATTTTGGACGAAGATCGAATATCAAGTTGAGAAAAAGGAGTAGCAAAAGGAAGCAAACAGAAGATAGAATTTTTCCATTCCATTGAAGGACAATCTTTGGGCGCAGGGCCGTGGTTGTGCTACCCAACGACCCTGATCTCGTGGACATCCTTGCAAAGAATGGTGTCGACATCTCGGTGGCTGAGGGAGAGCAGGAAGGCAACTTTGTGGCACTGCTTGGCAACCTCTTGTTTCCTCTGCTAGCCCTGGGCGGCCTCTTCTTGTTGTTCAGGAGGGGTGGAGCTGAGGGTGGTGGGCCCCTGGGCCCTGGAAATCCCATGGACTTCGGCCGGAACAAGTCCAAGTTTCAGGAGGTCCCGGATACAGGCATCAAATTTGGAGACGTTGCAGTAGGTGGATGGGGACTGAGGCTGCCACTGCACGGCCTTTGTTCAGTCGTTCTTACATGTTGATGGAGACAAAATATGAATCAGTTTGTTGAATGACGGTTTATGAAATTTGAGTCTATTAAAATTGTACATGGTTCACCTTTCTTACCTTTGTGAATTAATTGATCTCCGCATGCAGACTTTGGATGGTGCTTGATAACTTGCATTTCGCTGTTGGACTTGCCACCCAACATTTTGAATATCTTCCAACTCTCATATGGACTTGCACACATAACATGCACAATCGGCTTGTATTGATGTTGCTGCCCTTCTGCTGAAGATGCAGCCTCCACAGCAGTCGACTTTGGTGTCCAGGATTGCTTAGTTACTAATAGACTACGATGTCAGCTTTACTAAACAATGGCACAGATGAGTGCCCTCAGCAACAGGGCTGAGTAACAATTGGCAGGAGCAACAGGCATGAGTAGGCTTGTTTGCCTGGACAGGGCGTCGATGGTGCTAAGCTGGAGCTGCAGGAGGTGGTCGACTTTCTGAAGAACCCGGACAAGTACACAGACCTGGGGGCCAAGATTCCCAAGGGTGTACTGCTGGTGGGCCCGCCTGGGACGGGCAAGACCCTGCTGGCAAAGGCGGTAGCTGGAGAGGCCGGTGTGCCCTTCTTCTCATGTGCGGCGTCCGAGTTCGTGGAGCTGTTTGTGGGCGTGGGGGCCTCCCGAGTGAGGGACCTCTTTGACAAGGTGAGGTGGTAATCGACACTGCAAAATTTGTCAGCGTGCGAATTTCTGCAAAAAGGGGCAAGCTCAAGCCACCATACGTGCAATGTACCAAGCATTGTGTGCAACTGCCTGTGTTGCCAAAGTGCTGGACAAGTGCTTGGAAGAGTGGTTCTGGAGCTCTTATGGGGATGCTGGCTCCCTGGTGAGTGGTGCACTCATTGATGTGTGGCGGCGACTTCATGTCCTATCATTTCAGAGGTACCTGTTGCTTTCATGGGGTTTGCATGGGACTATTCTGATTCTCACTGTCTCCATGGGTTCATCAATATGAGTCATGAGCACGAATGGTCAAGCGGTTTGCAGCAGGTCAATGTGCTGGTGCTGCTGGTGGGGTGTGCATGGGTGAACTCGTTGGACTATGAGCTGTGACTTTTTGCCACGTGGATGTCTATTCTTCTTTGCGTCATTTGCGCGATCATGTGATGACATAGCCATCGCCAAATGCCTCTTTCCAGTGGGAATTGCGATCCCCCAGTGTGTGGCTACCCACTGCGCCTCATACCTTCTAATCCCTGTGTCAGTAGTATGTGCTTGCTTGTGTGCTGCATTTGCAGTGCAAACATGTCTGAACATCACAATGTGCTTCACAGCATGTGACAGGCATACGTCCTATGAAATCTGCGTTGTGCGCATGTGGCTGTGATGCCAACATTGGACAGAATACAAATTCAGGCAGTTGATATGTACCATGGAGTTGTGAATAAGTGGAAGTTGTCACTAGGAAGGTGAGCTAATGCAAGTACCACACACAGCGTATGCAATAACATATGTGTACATTGTACCTTCACATATTGCACAAATTATGCTTATCATAAACAGACGTTGTGGAACTGCTGATGGTGCCCATTCTTGCCATCCGATCAGGCCAAGGAGAAGGCTCCTTGTATTGTTTTCATCGACGAAATCGATGCAGTCGGCCGCCAGCGTGGGGCTGGTCTGGGCGGAGGTAATGATGAGCGGGAGCAGACGATCAACCAGCTACTCTCAGAGATGGACGGGTTTGAGGGCAACACTGGGGTGATAGTCCTGAGCGCCACCAACAGGCCAGATGTGTTGGATTCTGCATTGCTCAGGCCGGGGCGCTTTGACAGGCAGGTCACTGTGGACAGGCCTGACCTCAATGGCCGGAAGGCGATCCTGAAGGTATGGGAGCATGGCATGCTCAATTGGTCAATCAACCAGGCATTGAATCCATCAATCGGCCTTTCATGAGTCCCATCAGCTGGCGCTTCAGCAGCAGGGGCCATGGCCAAGTGGATGGCACTGCAATATGATGTATTTTGCTTGAGGGACGGAACTGTCTCAAATGGCCAGAGAATGGAACTGAAAGTATGTCAGTACTGTGATTGCATTTGTCCAACGGTGGCAAAGCGTTGCACAGCAAGTTATGGAACAAGGACATGTAACAGTTCAGCCAGAGCGTTTGGTCCAATTATTTTTCTCAATAAGGCTAGGAAAAGACATCCTGGAAAGAAGAAAAGAAGCTCACCTTTCGCGATGGATTGGGTGATAATGTCCCATGAGGATGAAATCTCATGTAGCTTTTCTGTCGATTTAGCCAGCTGTGGAAATTTTGCTCTTTGCTAATGAGATAAAGGACACCCTGAATGAGCAAAGAGAAGATCAAAGTGCTCTGTGGGACTACCACACTGGCCCAGACGAATGATAGCCCATACAACATTCCTGTCGCCTCACCACATTCTATTTTGCCCATTCCAAACATGAACATGCAAAAGAAGAAGGGAAGAGAAATGATAAAGGAAAGAGAGTGAAGAAATCTTGTATAGAGATATCTAACAAGTACAAAAGAGTAGAGATGCTCAACTCTCTTTGTGGGTCAATGATATGAGTCACTAAGAGCATCTTTATCGGTTGGTGCTGTTGCATCGGCGGTGCTATCCAGAAATGCTTCTGATTGGCTATTGTGCCACGTTACTAAGGTGGCATTTGTCGAATGGCACCAGTGCTATTGCTCCCCTGTGCGCATCCATAATGCCGGGTGCTATTCCTACACCGAATAGCACCAGGGCACCACTGCAATGTTTTGCGCGATAGCACCGGGGGTGCTATTGGGGTGCTGTTGCTCCCCAACCATCAATGATGGTTTTCCCAATGTCGAATAGCCGAATAGCACCACTGAGACAATAGCACCCACCGATAAAGATGTTCTAACAGATCGAAGTCCAGCATACTGTATTCTGCCTATTGACCCCAACGCAGTGAGATGGCAAATTGCATTGGTGAAGGTGCACTCAAAGGGCAAGACTCTAGGGAAGGACGTAGATCTGGAGAAGGTGTCGCGCCGCACACCAGGCTTCACGGGAGCTGACCTGCAGAACCTCATGAATGAGGCAGCGATTCTGGCAGCGCGGCGGGAACTGAAGGAGATCACCAAGGAGGAAATCGCGGACGCACTGGAGCGCATCATCGCAGGACCAGAGAAAAAGACAGCTGTGTTCTCAGATGCCAAGAAGAAACTGATCGCATACCATGAGGTATGGATGGAACTCTCGTGAGTGCGTATTCTGAAACTGATCGATTGAAGTTTTGTGGACAAACTATTTCATTGTTATTGCATTGTTCTACACGATTGTACTTCAGTTAAGGAGTGCGAGTACAGGAATATTGGAGATGTGGATATTTTTAACATAGTCAAATTAGTGCCATCATGGATAGACCGGTATTGGGAATAGAAGTTCAAGATATTGGCAGTAAACTAGGGTGGATCATAACATTTGTGTACAGGCACTGTGGTGTGTTTGCGAAATCGGGTGGTGCTGTTGTCAACATTTTCATCCAACTTAGTCGACCATGATATCACAGGTGTGTCATTGGCCACTGCTGACTTGCCTCAGCAATCAAAGAGCACTCTGACTTGCCTCTGGGCACCATAGTGGATTGCCTAATTGCCTGGTTGCCTGCTCCTATCCAGATTCTCATGTTGTGATTTGGACACCCCCAAAATTGCATCACATCTGAATTCTGAACAAAATCTTGCTGCACCTCTGTGCAGGCTGGACATGCTCTGGTGGGTGCGCTGATGCCCGAGTATGACCCAGTGACCAAGATCTCCATAGTGCCCCGTGGCAGTGCTGGCGGCCTTACTTTCTTTGCACCCAGTGAGGAGCGCCTTGAGAGTGGCCTCTACACTCGCACCTACCTTGAGAACCAGATGGCAGTCGCCCTGGGGGGCCGCATTGCTGAGGAACTCATCTTTGGAGAGGAAAACATAACAACTGGTGCATCTAATGACTTCCAGCAGGTCAGCCACCATAAGAGCAAGTGAATGGGTACATTGTTGTATTGTTAAAATGATATAAGTGGTCACAACCAATGTCCTGGCCATGTGCGTGCTTTTGATTTCATTGGCCTCGTGAGACAAAATGGCCCCTTGTGCCTCAATGGGCATAAGAGATAGATACAGAATCTCACTGTCTGTTTATTGCACATTCTTTTGATTCCCAGTTTGCTGCAGATTCTGTCAGTTTTACTGCTGTTAAGAGGGAGGGAAAGTTTCATGCATACCGCAGCCCCCCACATGCAATAATTGTGAAGCGAAACTCTTTCCTGTACTATGGAGGTGGTGCACTCAGATTGAACAGGCCCTTCATGCTCATCAACAGGGTTATGCAAGGCAGTTGGTTCCAATGCTGAATCTCATGTCCAAGGCTCATACGACATCTCAAACATCACAAAACTGCATTTGCAGCACTGGCTAGCTGTTGCTGCCAATTTCCCGCAGCATATGCCCTATAACAACCAATTGGTTCTCTATAAAGACACAGCTAAAATAGACGTGGCAAAAATAGATGCATTATTCAATCGTCTTTGAGTAGTCTTTGAGGAGGAGAAGCAGGCAGCAGTGAAGTGTACACTTGATGCCACAATTGTGCTTATTGCTACAGTTTTCCTGATCACTTGCCAGATTCTCTTTGCAGTGCTACAGTGCCAGGGTCATAGATTTCAGCGTGTCATGCATTTGGAACCTTGCTGGATTGATGTACGTATGGATTCATGCATTGACTCAATGATGGTGACCATTTCCACACAGGTGACCCGCATAGCCAGGACGATGGTGTCCCAGCTGGGGTTCAGTGACAAACTGGGCCAGCTGGCCTGGTCCGGGAACAGCGGACCCACCTTTCTGGGCCAGCAGATGGCCCAGCCTGGAGAGTTCTCCATGACGACCTCCAACATCATCGACACAGAGGTGAAGAGCTTTGTGGAGCGTGCCTACAGGCGAGCCAAGGACCTGATCCAGGTGAGCAACACTCGCTGTGCTAGAAACGGCCCTTTGCTCATTTATTGCCTGCAAATTCCGTGGTTTGTTGCAACCTCAAGGATTTGGGGTTCGGGGCTGGAAGAATACGAGGAGCCAGATGTAGCATACAGCGATTACTCTGTTTGGTGCCTGGTTATTCGTGCTAGGCACGTCTTAATTTTAAAGTTGCTCCCTGTGGTCTGTACGAATACCAGCTCAGTAACTTTGACAAATAGACAACCTGTTAATCATGGGGCACCCTCCTGGAAGTGGCCTCTTTGTTCCAGATGGATCGAGTGGACAGTAGTGCATTGCTTCCAGCGACTCAGTATCTAGCAGTGGGAATTGGCGGGTGCAGAGACTTAAGAATGGCAGCTTTCTCTCTAGGGTGCTGTCATGAGCCCTACCAAGCTTCTTGTGTTTTTTTTGAGTGCACGCTGATGCCAGCCTGCCATCACCGCTTTCTGAGTGCAAGAACATGTGCACTGTTTCATTGGCGATATAGGTGAATTTGCATGTAACACATCGCTACACTGCAGCCAGAAATCGATCGGTTCAGTGGTGTACCCCATGGCGTAGCCCACAGCTTTGTTTTGGCGCTTGCCCTGGTTCTTTTGGCCCATCCTTGTGGTCACCGTGGGTGAGCTGCCTTTGGTGTTGCATGTGTTGCGTGCTCATCATCTCGAACTGGGTTACTCTACGTCATCTTTGTACAGAACGGAAAAGAGTCTCACATGCACTTGCTGAGGAGGTGTGCCTTTTTGTATGACCTGCTCTGCTCTTGGAGTGTAGCACATCATACAATGGGTGTGGTGGAAGTGGTTTTGGACGAAAGAGACATACATGAAATGTTGCATATCCCTGATTCAGGTGCAGATGCCCCCTGGCGTTTGTTTTGACCATAATGTCTGATTCACTGCGCCGTTGCAGCCATTGCGCTTCTTTGCATCATTTGGTCATTGATCATTGATCATTGATTATTGATCGTTTTGTTAACATTTGGGTCCTTTTGTCTTAATTCTTCTTGGTTGTCTCTGTTGCAAACCGTCTGACCCGTAATGCGCAGAGCAACATCGACATCCTGCACAAGACAGCGGCCGTGTTGATGGAGAAGGAGACCATCGATGGGGAGGAATTCGAGCAGATCATAATGGCTTCCCAGGCGACGCAATACCTCAAGAAAGATGCCCCTTCAGTCACCATCCCATACCAGGCCTAGGACGGGCAGGGTGGGCCTGTTGCAACACACTTCTGTGATGCGGCAGTTGAATGGGTCGGGGAACAGTCGTTGCTGAGGCCCACGGTCTCAAAGCGCTGTCAGTTTTGATGTTTTAAGAAGCGATTGGACCTTGAAGCACGGGATTCTGTGGTTTTCAAGTGAAAGGAATTGGCGCCGTTTGTGGAGGGGGAATGCTGGACTTGCGTGCGCCTATCGTGGGCGACGTGCTGCCAAATGAGAGGCGGAGTCCAGATCTGGACTGTTGAAATGCGATGCCGTGAGCACGTGCGTCGTGAGAAGAAGTCACCAAACCTTGTGTGATCCGCCGCTGTCTCGTACGGAGTACTGCGCAGTTGTACTGCCAAAGGACGCACACTGTTCCACGGGCAAACTGCCCAGAAGAGTGCGCACCCAAATGTGTCGCAGCAAACCCATCGAGCGAGTTCTTTACGTGGTGGCAACATGCGCCATGTGTGCTCGTGTGTTGTAGATGTGTGCTACTCGTGCTGTTGCTCAACAGCAGGAGTAGCGTGAGTTGCTATCTCGTCGGAACAAAATGTATCTTGCTGCAGCAAGTACTACTATGCGCGGCTCCTGATCTCGGGGAGTCGGGGAGTGCTTGTTGAAAGCATGGCACACATGATTTTGTCCTAGGCATACGTACCCTGGTACCAATTGATGGCACACATGATTTTTGCCAGGTATACGTACCCTGGTATCAATTGACGGCACGTCAGCGCATGAGGTTTGTCTGAAAGAGCCTAAAGAAAGGCATTTACACATTTGCCCCAAGCACGGCCGCCACGAAAGCCACACAGGAAAAATGGCGCAAAAACACGGCCAAGGCAGCACGACTGGCTTCCAAGCAACACGGCCCAAGTTTCGAGCAGACGACCTTGCAGCATTTTGACGCAATTCAAACGCGGCTACCAAGGACAAGACGTTCCATCTCCTGGCATCATCGATACCGATTACAGATACCATAGGCATTTGGACCCTTCAGCCTTTCCGCATTGGAAATTACTGTTGCGCATTTTGCTTCGCATCTGCTTTTCAGAGTTACTTTTGTTTTTGGAAAATGACAAAAGGGGCTCCTCTAAGAGGTATCTTGACAAAAGGGGGTCCTCTGACCGCCCCCTATACATAAGATGCGTTGCCAGACCACCACTAGACCGGCGTCGTTCGGCAAGCTGGTCCTACTAGTGGCGAACCCACAGAGGACCCCCTTTTGTCAATTTCCCTCGTGGTGGTTGAATTTCAATCAGATGTTTACATCCCTAGCAAAAACACACATCTTTCACCACAGGACCTTCAGAAAATTAGTAACCCTCATACAGAGATTTCACAAAACTGTAGAACACAACTCAGTGGTTACAGTTTTTCCATGGCAAAAGCATTATCAGCCAACATCAGTACGGATGTCACAAAAATTCTCACAGATCATCAGCAGCCATCCCGGGATCCCCCATAACCGTCCCACACACAACTCAGTTCGCACTGACAATTACATGGTTTGCCACAGTTTTTTGCTCATTTGAGGTCGCTTGTGGACTGCCACCGCACTAGGAGCACGAAAAGGGAAGGCAATGCCAGCGAGCGAGCAAACAGATGCAACAAATGTTCTGACAGATTGTCGAAAGCCATCCCCAGATCCCATACAGCTGTCCCACGCAAGTCAGTTCGCACTCACAAACACCCTATTTGCCTACACGTCAATGCTTTTCTTTGCTACGAGTGCGCTCGCGATCGCCGAGAGAGGCTCTGCCATAGCTCCGATACCCCCTTGCTCTCACCGCAGCCCTGTTCGCCCCTTGGTCTCACCCGCAGCTCCGATGGCTGCGACTCCCTCACACAGCTCGGATCGCTGCTTGGTCTCCACGGCAGCCCCGATCTCCGCGGCTCTCCTTCACACCCCGATCGCCATGGCGCCCTCCCAGGGGTCGCCCTTAGTAGGGCCGTGGTCCGGTCTGGCAATGCATCTAATATACAGGGGCAGGTCAGAGGACCCCCTTTTGTCAAGATGTCTCCCAGAGGACCCCCTTTTGTCATTTTCTCTTTTATTTTTTTAAGTTGCTCCGCAATAATTTTACACTTGTTCAATTGTTTTCTTGGAAGACAAAGGCCAAGCGTTGCTTTACTATGCGGTCGGGGTTGCTTAAAAACCGACGGTACAGGCAGCCGCTACGGGCGCGGCATGGCATCAGATGCACCGGTGGCAGTAACACATTTCTGTCCACCGCTACAAAAAGCACGCATTGCGAGGCGCGACCCGATCTTCCCAAGCAGCCGCGATCGGCGGTGATCCGCAAGCCTCCGGACGCCGGCCCAAGGCTGAGGCCCGCCTCGCGCCACGCCTGCCGGTGAGGCCCCTGTCGCAACAGCGCCACTGCACTTGACGACTTGATTTTGACACTTGATTTTCGCGGGCGGCGAACGGCGCCAGCGGTGCTACTCGGCCTCGGGGGAGCCTGCAGCCGCTGGCGCCGTCTGCGGCATTGCGTCTGCGATTGCGCGATTGGCGACGCGTTGTGTGAAAGGGTGCTGTAGGGGTTGGAATGCCCTCTTCCTACACCCGGTCCAGGTGGTTTGGTGGAGCGGTGTGGGCGGTTGGGTGGTTTGGGCGTCCCACCAGTGATAACCGGCTCGATCCCCGGTCAGACATCCTTTGCCATGGTCACAAAAAACAAAGGGTGCTGCACGCATGCTCGCGCAGGGGCAAAGTCGGCAGACCCGCGCGGATTCGGGCCGCGCACCTGGGGCAGTACCTGGGGCACGGCCCCCGGCTGAGTTCGCCAAACTCCATGATTTGAGTCCGAGTTCCTCAGACACAGCCGGTCCCATCGCGCGTCGATCTGTGGATGGATATTGAATGAGTGGTCCGGTTCCTGGCGGCGCCCCGTTGGACGCCCACGTAGGGATCGGCCTTCGTGCACCGGAGCGGCTGCTTGGCTTCGATCAAGCCCGATAGACGGGGCGATCGAGGGGGACCGTTTGTGGGCGATGTCGATTCTCGCGTTGGGGCGAAGTCGAAAGACCCGCGCGGATTCGGGCACTGCACCTCGCCGGGCCCGGCCGCAGCCGATTCGCCGTGCTCCACGCTTTGAAATCGATTTTGATGGAGGCGGACAGAACCATCGCGCGTCGATCTTGTGCACAGATCCATGCATGCATGGAAGTTGGTTGAATGCGTGCGGTTCCAGTCGGCGGCGCTCCAGGCGCCCGCGAAGGGATGGGCCCCCGTGCATCGGCGCCACCGGTAGCGGGGGGGAGGACCGATTTGCGCAGATTCGGTTTCGCGCCTGTCGGGGGCCCGCCCCGCCCAAACTCGTCGCGCTCCCTGCTTTGAATTCGACTTCGGTACCGTGACTACTCTTGATGTGTTATCATCGACAAACGCTTCTTGGCGTTGGGAGTTCATAGATTCCTAGACCTTGCTTGTGTTGCACATTAGATTTTGATCAACTGATCAAGGACATTGCTTTGCACGGGCAAACTAGGATGCTGACGGGTGCATCATTGCCTTGTTATGCGGCAATAATGATGATGCTGACTACCGGCGGGCCACGGCCGAGCCCATCATGCGTCGATCCCTGCCCCGAACACTAGGAAAAAGGGCCAAATAACACTTTTGCGAACACACATAAAAACACATTTCACCAAAGTTCTGCACGCTAAGGACACAAAAATAACACAAACCCGTAAACTTTGTACACGTTTGAACACGTGTTACTTGGCCCTTTTTTCCTAGTGGAAATTTACTATGTTGAATGCGTCTGGCTCCCGCCGGCGCCCTTCCAGGTGCCGTTGCACGGGTCGGCCTTCGCGCATTGGGGCCGCTGGCGGTGGGGATCGAAACGGTGGTTTGGCTGATTACGCCCGATCGATGGGGCGACCGGTGCGGATCGAACGCTACAGACACAGCCATTCCCATTGTGCGTTTGTCTCTGCATTTATGCTGAGAGTATCAATATTGAGATTGATCGATGCGCCCGATTCTTGGTGGCGCTGCCCCAGGCCCCCAGGGAAGAATCAACCTTCGCGCATTGGAGCCACGGATACCAGCGGAGGAAAATCGCAACAAAAAGGCGTGGTTGCGAGAGGGCGAATTGGTCCCATTTTAACGCGGTTTAAGCCCCAAATACGCAATGCGCTGTTGTAAATAGAACCGATTCAGTATTACTAAGGGCTGGACGCATAAGAAGTGATGAGGCATTGAGAATTGCATTAAGGACATTGATGGACGGAGTGGTTTAAGGGACAGAGCTCCTGTTGTCCCTTTGCTCTGCTGTAAACCGTTGCCGTGGACTTGAGCCTGCGTTCCCCGTCCAGGGGTCGCCACCCCTCGACCCCACCTGCCTTAGTCAGCGCTCCTATTTTAACACAGTTTGAACGCAGTTGGAGACTGTGTGAAATGGGCGACGTTTTGTCAGGCGGTATTTTGCCGCCGGTTGCGAAGATTGGAGCGGCGGCTTGGCTGGTCGTGCCCGATCGAAGGGGCAATCGGAGCGGGTCATAGGGGCGAGCGAGGTCGCCAAGGGGACTGAAGAGAGGGAGGCTATGAAGTGCAACGGCTGCTGGGCGGAGCTGGACCCCAGCGCCCAGGCCATCGCGACGTCCTGCGGCCACCTGTTCTGTGAGTCGCGCCGCGCGCCGCTTTTGGTTGAGATCGCGGACGGTGACATATGTCACAATACATGCATGTCGCCCTATTGTAAAATGAGTAGATCAATGGCCTTAGCCACAATGCACTTGAACAATAAATTTACATTCAATGGCAGGTGAGTCAAGCCGCTCGCAAAGAATTGAAGGCTTCACATAGCTGCTGAAAATGCGACACAATGAATGTAGCATTGGTACGAACGCATTGCGTGAATGCTGTATTGATCACACAACACTGGAAAGCGTACATGAATCTGATGTCTACATTAAATTTACCAGTTGATTGATCATGTTACGTTGTTACCCATAATACAGTACGCTGAGTATGGCTATGTTTCATG